GTATAGACTAGTGGTATGTTCTGGTTAGAAGGATGTCAATTATAATGGTTCTCAGTGGTCAGGACTCAGAGGAGTCACGGAGTTGGTTGGGGGCTTGTGCCTCGTGTGCTTGGTATGTGGCGGTAGAAAATTTTGTTCGGTATAGGGCGTGCCCTTATGCCTAGTTAGGGTTGTGAGGGAAATGGTGCGTGTGGCTGTGGCCGCTGTTCGGTTAAGGTTGCATTGGGTCACAAGTGTAGGATTGCGAGTGACATGGGACGTGGGATTCTTTGGATTGAGATTTTGAGGTATAACGTGTTGCGTGGGGTACTCGGAGACATACTCCGTTTTTGTATCCTTTCGTCTTTCTCTTGTGAAGTGGGTTGATTTCGAGAACGAAATCTTTTAAAGTTGGGGAGATTGTAATGTTACAGATTTTTTTCTATTTTTTATTTTCAGGAATTTATTTGATTTTTCTATATTATTTTAATCCTTGCCTTGTTTTGTGTTCCACGCGGGCACCAAGGGGCGAGTTGGTCATTTTTTTTGAGCCGAGAGTTTTAGAAGTGTATTTTAATCATTTTAAGTCAATTAGAAGTAACTGTATTACTTTTAGAATTTTTCAGAAGTCGGGACGATTTCCGAATTCGGGAACTTCTCTAGGTTTTCTCACATATATGTATACATCTATATCTATATATTAGGAAGAAATTTTATGGGACAAGGATGGCATTGTAGAGGAAGGGAAATAGCATGATGGTAACTTGACAAAAAGTTAGTAACCATAGAATCATGACAAGTGACACAAAGAAGGCCACACAAGCAATTGCAAGACCAAGCCTAAACCCATCTTTTTTTCTTCATTTTCGGCCAAGCCCCCTCTCTCTCTAACCTTTCTCATTCTCTCTCTATATTCCTCTCCCCTTCTCTCTAGAATTTCTTCATGCTAGAAGAAGATTTGGTTAAGCCGGAGTTAGCAAATTATAGATCGTTGTAAGGGCTACGTTTTGGTGTCGGTATTGCAAGCTTTTGGTGGGATTTGAGTTTGGAGCTTGGAGCTTGGGTTGCTATCTTGAGGTAGGGGAAGTTTAAATTATGAGTCATATGGTTTTAATGAGCTTCTATGTATATTCTTACATGAAATCTTGTTATTGTGTAGCATGCTTAGTTTTGTAGAGTTTTGGTTTGTGGTGTTCAAGTATGATATGTGGTTGATTTATGTGGTTTAAAATGTAGCTAATGTGATTTATGCTAATTGTGTATAACATGCTATTTTCTATGTTGGAATGTGGAAGTATAGCTTGTATGGTTATCTTATGTTTTGTATATCATGAGCGATAATTTTGATTTAAATTCATGAATGGTATTTTGATGATTAATGGCATAAACTTCATGTATTTTTCATGGGGAAATTGGGTTTTCGAGATTGAACTCATGATGTGGAAATGAAGGATGAAAAGTGAATTGATGTTGTGGTGTAAGTTGGATTGAGAAGTGAGGTGGTGGTTACGAAAGGTTTGATGAGGTTTAGGTTCAAAGGAAAGAGGAGGACAATTGCATCTCATGTGGTGAAATGAATTATGAATTCATTGTATTTAATATTTGATATTATGGTTGACATCCCCATAATCCCTTCTTCTTATTCTCCTCTTCTCTGGTTGTGGTTCACGGGATTTTTAGGAATGTAATTTAAGCTTTTTCTATTGAGCTGTTGAGCTCACCCTATTATCATTAACATTTTTTCAGGAATTCGGAGACAAGTTGGTAAATGATATGCATCCATAGATATTGACGTAACTAGGATTTTAATTCATTTTTATTAAGCTATGTAGTGTTGGCCATAGAGGCCTCATTCCTTGTATTTAATTCCTTTAAGAATGTATTTCTTTTGTAAAGCATGGCTATGTACTGTAATTACGACACTTGATAATATTTGATGTAAACTTGAGATTACGTAAAGGTTTAATGTTGAATAGGGGAAATGCAGTTATATTTTAAGAAATTATAGATGCCATCTAACTGTATGTTTTGCCGTGAAATTCGGGATTTGTTTGTGTATCAGGTTTGGTATAGACTGGCTCACAATGAGTCTAGCTCATTTGATGTCTCAGCTACAGATAGCAGCATTCCAGGCCTGTCAGCCAGCTGACAAGAACAAATATCAGCCGGCTGATAGTGAAAATTTTTGGTATTCTAGTAGGTCGATATATTGTGGATGTTGTTTTGGCCGGCTGATAAACTTTGTCAGCCGACCGAACCCCCTCTTATCAGTCGGTCGACGTTGGATGTTCGGCTGGTCGACAATCTTTTTTTCTGAAGTCCCGAGAGCATGAATTATTGAGGATCGTTTTAGCCGACCGACCCTGCAGGTCAGCTGGCTGACCATGCATTTTCGATCGGCTGACGAATGGCCATCAGCCGGTTGAGGCTGACTTCTCCATCAGCTGGCTGATCTTATCCATTGACTTGTACTTTGATTTCTTCTTCTAAACTATGTCTTAGAAAGACCTTGGGACCCTTGAATGATCGGTGTATCCCCAGTGAGTATAGGAAAGGACGGGATTGCCCTTAGTTGACCTCGGGTTCGGGTAAGGACCCGCTTAAACAGTTCGGGCCCACGGGTATGGGTCATTACAGAGCACATGCCCCCTAACCTCGCCCTATGTACATATATGGTATATATATATAGATATAGATACTTGTATATTATGCATCTCTAAAAATATTACTTTTTAATTTTTTTTTTTTTTTTTTTTTAACTTTTTTATTTGTTTTTCTCTTTTACTCTATTAAATTTCTTTAATTACCTTTTTAAAAAAGTTAAATTCCCTTATTTAATCATGCTATAATTCGTTTCCTTCAAAATTCATTTTTCTTTTCCTTTTTGTTCTTCTTATTCTTATTTTTTTTAAAAATAAATAAAAATTCCACTGTGCCCCTGAATTCAAATCTTAGCTCCGCCCTTGGGTGTATCCTGCCAATAAAAATATTACAAATCAATTTGTTAGAGTAATTTTGAACATATTTTCAAGTGTTGGGACAAATTTCATTATATGTTAAATTTGCATTAATTAAGCATATCAATAGCATAACATACTCGACTCACCTAATATCAATTTAATATATATATTTTTTCATTACATTCATTTCGACTCATGATGATTGTAATTAGTCTAGTTTAACCTAAATTTTTTATTTTATTTTTTACAATCAAAGCAAATGTCCTCCAGAAATAATCAATGACTGGCTCGATGCTTTGTTCAGAGATAAATCCTTTGAGGTTGTCTTTCACCATGCCTACTCTATTATCCAATGACGAAGATATTTTAGTATATAGCTTCAAATTATGGATTAGGTGGGCTTGTTGTTGGGTATATGAAAAATATAGTTTAATTACGAGGATATTAAAATTTTAATTAATTACTAGAATTATATAGTTGCCAATTAGGTACAGTTCTTTGCTTAAATGCTAATATGAATAAATATTCTGATAAATTAGGAATAGGAATTGATATTTGTGTTTCACAATAATACTCTCGAGCTCCACTTTCATTTTCTCTCTAAATGAAAATTCAAATTAACCCTTACACCACACAAATTTGATTATTACCATTTTTATCTCACTCACTTTCTATCATTTCTAAAGACTTTTTTATAAACTTATCACATAAAGTATGTTGAAATTTAGAAAACATATCACATAAGGTATGTTATTTATTTAATTATTTTTATTTAAAACTCTTTTTTTTTTCTTTTTTTTTTTTTCTATTTCTTAATTTATATATTTTATCTTCTAAAATCAAATAAGCTTCTCTATACAACAAACTTTCTATCTGAGTAAAATTAAAATTTTCTTGATTTTGAATTCAATTAAATATTTGTCTATAATTAGAGAGATCTATTTATTGATATAGAGTTTGCTTCTAATTCAAATATGTTTATTCTAATCACTTGCCTTTATTATTCTAATCATAATCCTTATATTTAAGGATAACCCTTTCTCGTACACGAATTGTGTGTATTAATTCTCTATCACAATGGATGAAATTTATTATAGAATAAATATGGATAGATTCATAAAGAAAATGTATTTTCAAAACTCAAAAATATATATTCTAAAGAAAAAAAAGTAGAACAAAAGAGTAAGAAATTACCATTATGGTAGACATTTAGAAGGGTTGGCTTATTAATAGATTTTTGAAATTTCTTCAATATTAATTGTCTTAACAAATTCAACAACTTCTCTAACTCAAACACTGTGTCATTTAGTCATTTTTGGAGACAAAAGGAGAGAGAGAGAGGATGGGAGGGGACGTGAGAGAAGTTAAAAGAAATATATGTGAGAGAATTATAGCTTTTGGTGTCAAGAATCTAAGCCTAAAGGAAAGGGCAATTATGGAATTAGAATTATAAAAAAATAAATCTTCTATGATGGGAGGGTTACATTGTAATTTCAGTTTAGGGGAGAGAGAAAGTGGAGCAACTTAGGATCATAGTGAAGCACCGATATTAGCTCCCTAAATTAAACTTACCTTTTTTGTTTTTGCTAATTGTTTAGAAATTTACATTAATGTTAATTATTTCCTTAATTCTCAAGATCATATTAAAATTTTAATATAAATATCTATTATGCTAATTAACCCGAACTTTTAAATCAAAATCTCAACTAAAGTTGAAAATTAGGGTAAAATTTTTTAAGAATAATTTAGATTTGATCGGATTAAAATTAAATTAGAGTTGAATATTTCACGTCGGGTTGGGTTGGGTGTAACTGTCTAAGTTACACCATCAACCCACTCAAATTATGGCCCTACAAAACAATTATGTATGTGGCATTGAGTAATTTTACAACATGAAAGGTAGGTATGTTAAAGAAGTCAAGTTATGCAAAGGAATATTTCGAGAAAAAGAAAAAAAAAAAAAAGAAAAAGAAAAAAAAGAAAAGAAAGTGGAATATTCCTAATGAAACACAAGTGCATAGTAATCTTATTAAGTACGTTTCCATCAAGTTACGAAGCAAAGCCTAAAGTCAAATAATGGCATACATGGGTCCTGACCATAACCATGACCTAATAAGCAATCTCCGAGATAAGCTGTTATGTTCAATCATCTCACTGCTTCCGGCAAAAGAAGCCGTAGCAACCACCCTCTTGTCTAGCCGGTGGAGCCACCTGTGGAGGTCCCTTTATCGCCTCGATTTCGACCCCGTCCACGTCGAAGATGTGAACCTACTTGATTTAATTCCATTCCAGATCATTGAACACGTAGTGTCGTCCCAGCGGACTAATGTCACCGTCTGCCGGATTTCTCACTCCCCGGAGGACTGGCCGTCGTTGCTCAAACTGATCAATCGCCTCAAAGTGAACAAATCCATAGAAGAGCTCCGACTTACTTGTATAGATGATGGAAATGGAACTGTTCAGTATCTCGAGTCGTCTATCTTGCCGGTGAGTCTCTTCCGGTGTGGAACTCTCCGTGTCCTCGAACTCAACAACTACCAACTCAGCGTTGACGACTCCATTGCTGCGGCTTTCGAAGGTTGTGTGAATCTGACAACTCTAAAACTCAACTCGGTCCGAGTAACCCCGGAGAGTCTTTTCAGAATCATATGTAACTGTGAGTTCTTGGAGAATTTGAGCCTGTGTTCTTGTATTGGATTAGACTATATTAAGATTATTTCTAATCACAACTACTTTAAGTTCTTGGAACTCCGGAATTTGGATCTTTATAAGATTGAAATATATCTCAAGAGTGTCACTGAACTAGTGCTTGATAATGTTCAATACTCCAAAAGATGTTATATTAACTGCCCAGACCTTCGAGTGTTCCGAGCCTTTGGTAAAAATATGACAAATTCAGAGATTCTCGGGCGATGTTGTGGCCTTCTGGTAAGTTAATTTCTCCTTTAAATATTAAGAAATTGTGTAATCAAAATAAATACTTATCAATTATTTTCTTGATTAATTTCTCATTAGAGAAGTAGTACTAAATATGGAGAAGAGTTTCTTTCTGCCCCGAATTTGTGCGTGTTATGCACTGAATTAGACTTGAATGACCTCAGAGATAGTATCTTATTCGCTTTCATTCTCAAATCGAGTGTTCGTCTGCAAAAAATCGACGTCACAAATCGGGTAAGTTGATCCAATGCCGCAATTTTAATTTACTTATATACTATGGTATATTAGAATTCTTTTAAGTGTGACAATATTAATTGCATGTAATTCAATTCTGAATTAAAGCAGTAATTTTTATTTATTTTTCTTAAAGTGAATTAAAGCAAGTATCATTTTTTACAATGTTAAGCATAAGGTCTGGAGGGATTAATCAACATTTTAGCAATTTTTTATTTTTTTTCAGGAATTATTACATATAAAAAGTGCTAATGACTCACATTTACCATTTGATATAGCTTCAAAAAATATGAAGACATAAAAAACTCTATTTACTCTCACATAGGTACCACTTTTTGTATATGCATGTATCACTTTTTGTGTTGTACAAAAAATATGAATAAAAGTGGTACCTTTATACCCAAAACAAAAAGTGGTACATGATACACAAAAAGTGGTACCTTTGTTTCCATGTCTATGTCAGCATTTTAGTCTTATCTTATTTTTTGAAACTATGAAACTTTGATGGAGCCAAACAAAAAGTGGTACGTGATACATAAAAAGTGGTATCTTTGTTTTCATGTCTATGTCAGCATTTTGGCCTTATTTTATTTTTTCGAAACTATGAAACTTTGATGGAGCCATTAGCACCATATATATATATATATATGTAAAAATCCCTTTTTCTTTTTCTTTTTGTTTTTGTTCTTTTTTTTTTTCTTCTTTTTAATGTAGTATTCTCATTATGCGTTTTAACTTTGTCAATCAGGCAAACCCAAGTTCAAGCAAACTTCCATATAATGAGTCTCCGTTTTGGGAAAAACCAGAGTTATCCAATAAAATAACACCTCACCTCAAGCTAGTGTGGATAAGGGGTTTTGCAGGAAAAGAGAGAGAAATGATGCTCGCTAATCATCTCATCAAGAATGCTATCATGTTGGAGAAAATTGTGATACAATGTGACGACAATTGTTCGCGAGAAGGAGCAGTCATTACGAGGACCTTGCGATGGCTGCCAATGGCCTCCATGAATGCTTCTGTAATCCTGAAACCGCCCTCCAAGTTTATGACCGAGGTTGGTGATGATTTTGGTAATTGGGTTTCGACACTTCTATCGTACTCTGCTGAACGTCACTTTTAATTTCAGATTTTATATTTTCATCATTATCATATGGATTTCGGTATAGAACATAAATTTTATATTTTCATCATTATTACAATATGAAAACTAATTAAACATGTTATTCTGTTATTTGGGAGAAGTTCAGTTTGATTTTTTCAAGCGAAAAGTAATATTTAGAAATATTTATGGGCTAATCTTGTTATTTCTTTATGAAATTAGATGTTTGGTTATTTAATTTTGCACTTTCAATTTATGTGACTCTGCATTTGTTGTGGTTTTCAATGAATTTCAAATTTTCTTTCTCAATGGGATATAGAAAACACTTCTGCTTATATACCCAGAGGATAAGAAATCAATCAAGTACAACATACACTCTCATAACTCCCACAATATTGATAGTAGACATAAACTCTTTATCAATCATTTTGAAAATGAAAAGAGATATCACTAAACCACATATCTTAATCGCTCGAGTTAAAATTAGATTAACACAAACAACGTAATAACAAGTCTGGAAAGAATTTTAGTTCAAAACATTAATTTGATTGTCCTGGATTTATTATTGCACCTGAGTTATGAACCCTCATAGGCTATATTAATAACTACATGACAGGGAGAATATAAAAAAGGGGCTTACTTCATTATTTGATCGGAGGAGAAGTGAAAGAAAAAAACAAAAACAACAAAAAACAAAAACAACAACAACACATAGACGGAATTATCTTATGCGAATACATTGAAGTCATACCTTGTCATCTTTGGTAGAGCCCTGGTATCTGGTTGGAAGGCATATATCCTAGAAGCATCGCCCCCTCCTCTGTTTTTGTTGCCTCCTTCCGAAGGTGCTGACAAACCATTCATGATACCTTGTCGTCAGAGTGTGCCCGATGATCAACCCAACTACCAATCCACCTCCATAACCCATGCATATGACAATCCAATCAGTTTTACTAATTGGAAACCATGAATGATCCTCATTTTGCTCAAAATTTGAAGGTGGCGGTGATGCTTCTAAACTGCCGCATTTCTTCGACAAAGGCTCTCCACACAATCCTGAATTCCCCACATATGAATTGTTTTGAAATGTATCGAATTGTCTCCCTCGTGGAATAGGCCCTGTGAGATAATTATGAGAGGCATTTAGGACTGAAAGGAATGTGAGTTGTGTTAGTTCCTCGGGTATCTCTCCGGAGATCTTATTTTGAGAAATGTCTAATGATTCAAGCTCTGTTAGATTCCCAAATGAAGATGGGATGTGACCGATGAGACTGTTGTTGGAAAGATTGAGCACGTGAAGCCCCTTGAGAATCCCAATAGATTCTGAAATCTCTCCTTCGAATCGGTTGCTTGAGAGATCAATGGCAGCCAAGATATTTAGGATATTCGAGTACACTATTTGCACGCCTTTGTTCATTAGTGTCATCGAGTAACTATAATTGTCATGCCATACTTTGCCACCAATTTCATCATATAAATTCAACTCTATGATTGCCCCAATATATGTCAAATGATTAACATCAGTAGTTTTCATGGCTGTCCACGTTTGGAAGTAATCAGAAGGCAACTTACCAACGAAACCATTGTGAGAGAGGTCAATAATGTGCAACTTGGGGAAACCAAAACCGGGTTTAGGGTTCCATATTGCACCATGGAATCTATTGGATCGCAAAACCAGAACCTGTAACCCAGGAAGTGCTCCTAGCCAAAAGGGGAAAGTATCATTGATCTGATTGCTCCCAAGATCAAGACTCTCTAGAAGTGAGCAATTGATCAATGATCTTGGCACTGGCCCTTGCAATTGGTTTTGGCTCAAGTTAATCATCCTTAGTTTGGTTCCTTTCTTGTATGTTTGAGGAATGGAGCCGTGCAAGTTATTGCTTCGAAGATTCAGTAATGAAAGAGAATCAGCAAAACTGCCTAAGCATTGGGGAATGATGCCACTCAAGTTGTTGTAAGATAAGTCCATGGCATGAAGAAAACTCATATTGCAGATTATAGGTTGAATCTCCCCACTAAGTTGGTTATTTGAGACATTATAAACAAAGGTGGACGATGGTGGGACGGGGAGTGATCCTTGCAGCAAGTTAGAACTAAGGTCTAATATGTGCAGTCTACCCCACGGAAGGACTAATGGAGGCTGGTGAAAGCCAGCTATGAAGTTTCGAGAAAGGAGAATGGCTTGCAGAGTTTTTGTACTCATGTTCCATATCCATGCAGGCAAGAGGCCTTGAATTCTGTTGTTGCTGAGGTCTAACCACCGCAACTTATCTTGAAATTTCAAAAATTCTGGGAACTCAGTTAAGTTGCATGATGCCAACTCTAATAGTATAAGATTTGGAAAAGTTGCATTGGTTGTGCTACTCGTGAGCAATGCTAGTTGGTTACCTGATAGCTGAAGATTAAAAAGATTTTTCAGGGTAAGAAACACATCAAGCTTCATTGTTCCACTCAGGTTGTTAAAACCAAGATCAAGATCTTGCAGATTCTTAAGTTCAGAGATTGACTCAGGAATGGAACCTTGCAACAAATTATATGGAAGATATAGGTATACTAATTGGGTTAAATTCATAAGCCAAGATGGGATTCGACCAGTTATTTGACTAGATTGGAAGGATAGGCCAAGAAGTTGGGTCAGGTTTCCAAAAGAAGATGGGATTTCACACATTAAATTGTTCCCAGTAAGATCCAGAAAGACTAGTTTGGTTAGCTTACCAAGCAATGACAGGTTCTCACCATTGAAATTATTGTCGGAAAAATATAATTCAGTGATTTGTGTGAGGTTTGAGAATGAAGCTGGTATATGACCTACAAAATGGTTGAAAGAAAGGTCAAGATAGCCAAGCTGTGTAAGGCTACCAAAGGAAGAAGGTATATGGCCCATAAAATGATTGGCAGAAAGGTTCAAATAAATGAGTTGTGTGAAATTACTAAATGAAGATGGTATTAACCCTGAGAAATTGCATTCTGCTATATCCAAATCATTCAACGAATCAAGCTTTCCAATTGAATTTGGTAGCTCTCCAGAGAAACTTGTTCCCACCAATGCCAATCTCTTAAGTGGACTCCTCGTGTGGAATTCAGGCAAATATCCACTGAGCTTTTGATTGTACCACAAGCCAAGTTCCTGCAAGTTTGGTAGCTTAAAAATGCCTACAGGAAATTCACCATGTAATCCACAATATCCAAGACTTAGAGATTTTAAAGAAGAAAATTTTGTTAAGATATTGGGTACTGCAGAAGATATGTTCACCTCGAAGAGGTGAAGTTCTTTTAAGGCTGTCAAGTTTTGAACCAAACTTGCTAGGCTGGGGTTTTGGAGTTTCAATGGATTTACTGAGAGATCAAGGGAAGCCAATGTGGTTAGTTTTGAAATTTCCAATGGGATTTGGCCAGAGAAAGAGGAAAATGAGAGGTTGAGATAAGTTAACCTTGAAAGGCGTCCAACAGCAGACGGGATAAGGGAGTGATTGAAGTAATTGTCCGCGAGGTTGAGTCTTTGAAGGTGAACAAGGTGGAAGAGACTGCTGGTTGAGTTGATAGAACCATAGAGATAGCTGCTGCTAAGGTCAAGGCCAATCACATGGCCGGTGTGTGCATTGCATGTAACGCCATCCCATGAGCAGCAATCAGTACTATTGCTTTCAGGATTCCACGCCACTTTTGGGTAGGCAGAAGGATTGCGAGAAGCATACTTTCTTATAAAAAGGCTTTGCTTGAATTGCATCAAGGCAGAACTCTCATTGTCATGGCAGAGTTGATGCACAGAAGTGGAAGAGCTGATAACCATGAAATGAAATGAAATGAGTAGAAAGAGCAAGGGCATGAAGGTGAAGAGATACAATGGCGAACCCATTATATATGTCTTAGCTCTCCTTCGAATTCAGTGATAGGAAAGTATATTCGAGGAGGTGTTCTTATAGAAGAATGAAACCTTATCAGGATGGAGCTATGTGTTGGGTAGAAACAAGCTTTTACATCAGAGTTGACTACTTCTAAACAACGATTGGTGCTGTTAAGTCAAGTCATTTGCGTAAATCAAGGGTTTATTGAAGATGTGAAATATTTGGGCAATTCAATATGAAACGTTGTGATTTATCAGTGTATGTGGTATTAGACACTGGAATTGAAAATTTGTGTTCAGTTAATTTAGTCTAGCTGTCTCCGACTCTCCATCCAACTTGGTCAATGCCCCTTTAAGGCTTCAATTGGCTTCTAGAGAAGTCACTCAGGTCCCAAAATTGATAAGGTGTAGATTGTTTTATTCAGGAAGAATCTTTAGCTATTAATAGGGCTATATTGTTAACAACTATGCATACAATGAATTGTCAAGGAAAGCCATTTTAATGATCTTCGACAACTTTTTAACTCCTTGTATTTAAAGCAGGGCTTCATTTTTTCAGAACAATTGAAGGTTTTGAATCAGTGAATTCACTGTAGTTAAATTGAGTTTTTTTTTTAATCTTCAATGAAGAACGCTGTGATTCATTGAAGTGAGTTTTTCTAAGTTTTATATCTGCATCTACCTATTGCCAAAATCCATGCAAGCCTTTTTAACTGGCACATGTTATAGTCCAACTAACACCCAAAATGGAAAGACCACAAGTGACCGTAACTGATGGGGTGTTAATTAATAGTCCAATCCTGGAAGATTAGGAAGAGAAGAATATAAGATGACTTTATAACAATAATTCCTATAGACTGTAATGTCAGTCGAATGGGTTAAATTAGTAATCGGTCCATGCTGTTTAAGATTCAAATTTCCCAAAAGCCTTTGCCATTACAACCAAAAAATTCGTCAAGCAAAGTTGTAGCGTGACAGCACCGGCAAAAGACTTGGAAAAAACAACCAGAAAATTAGGTCCCGCGAGTGAAGTGGTCCATAACATTGTTTGTAGTATGTAAAGAAAATGTGTTTGCTTTGATCTCCCCAGAGACATGACTTTTACCAAAGGACACTAAAAGTGACTATTGAAAATTAAGATTTTCATGATCAAGTTTATCTAAAAAGTTCACATACTTTTGCACAAGAATAAAATCAAGTAACTTTCTATTTACCTGTTAGTTTTTCTCTTTAAAGTGATCTACGATCGAGCAGCCATATTTTTCTTCTCATCTTAATCTTGAGCTGAGTTGTGTTTTGTTATGCCTTCTGCAATTTCACTCCAAGAAGATAAGAACGGAGGGGAATAAGCAGATAAGGGAATTGAAAGTAGAGGTGAGTTTTTAATTTCCCCAGTAATTGTTCTCTGTAGATTAAGTTACACAACACGGACTTTCAGCCTTTCCACCGTGTTCTTGAAAATGCAACCAAACAACCCATATAGGCCATGGTCCGATTTCTGCCAGGGAGGTCACACTCATAATATCAAGAGATGTCTAGAATGCAAACCATGATGGTAGAAATAAGTTTTATTTGATAGGTGTATCTGGTTGCATGGAATTGGAGTATGGAAATTGCAATTAGTGAAATTTGAGAAAATCAATTAAGAAAATTGAACCAAAATTTTCTCATATTTCACCAATTCCAAAACTCCAATTCCATGTAGCCAAACACCACCTTGAAGAGAACAGTTCTAAGAGAATTAAAGTTTTGAGTAGTAAAAATATGGCAAAAGAGAAAGTAGTAAGTCAATTTTTCTTTCTTTTTATTTTAAATTTGATGTTTTTTTTGGTGTCGGGACAAATAATTTATTAATTTGAGAATTTGAATCCTTAATTTTCGACTCTGAAAAACCAGAAGAAAAAACCACTACCCTGGATTGAGAATGCATGGCTTCTCCTCCCTCCACTCTTAAATAGCTTGAGAATTCAAGCCAAAATGTCATACATGTCTCAGGCTGTGATGGGTCTTTTGAACATTAATTTTATCTTCACAACATGTATTATAAAAGAAGTGTCCAAAATCGCACGATGCAAATTAGATACTATACTACAAGTATTATTTATTTAACAACCCTTTTCTTATGTGGATAAGTGTAACAAGGGTCATTTTGTCCCACATCGGAATCGGATGGGAAAGAGATTGGGTATAAATGGGTGGGTATGCAGCCTTACCTAACAGTTCGAACTTTTGGGTAAATGGGCAAGCGTCCACCCGTTACAGTTGGTATCAGAGCCAGACCCAGTCCTTGATCCGGTGCCACGCCAAGCGCCCGGCCCGGAAGGCGTCCGGGTGAGTCATCCCGGGTAGGCAGGGTGGCCCAACCGCAACGAGGGCGTTGCGAGTTTGGGTGGGGGAGAATGTAACAAGGGTCATTTTGTCCCACATCGGAATCGGATGGGTATAAATGGGTGGGTATGCAGCCTTACCTAACAGTTCGAACTTTTGGGTAAATGGGCAAGCGTCCACCCGTTACAATAAGCCACCATAGACGATGAGGATTTGGCATAGACAACAAATGTAAACAGCTAAAAAGAAACACAACGCAACACTTATTGAAGACAAACATAGACCTGATAGTCGGTGGAAACTCCATCGGTATGCTCCCCGCGCCGGCAATAGTTAGACGGACTCCGTCGATTGGAGGGAAAATGGTTCCGTCGTTGGAGTCAAAGACCAGGGTAGCTGTTTGTGGTGAGCTTACTTTTCTTTTTACTCTGCTGTGACGTTATTACCCCTGTTTAAATTAATCTCTTTCACTGCAGCGAACGTCAATTTTGGTACTTCAAAAAAGGTTAATTTTGGAATTCAGAGCAATATATATATATATATATATTCTTTCTTTTCGTTTTTTTTTTCAGCTTAAATATTATCCGTCCTTCATTCGTCCCATGCTATGGCCGGTTTGATATTGTTTTTGCTTTTGCGTTAATGCAGAAGAAAAACGAGAAACATAAGTTATCTATACTATTTAATTTATAAGTTAATGTTTGGGAATTATATTTTCAAAAGTCTTGAGAGTCAAAAGAGTTTTTTGTTTGTTTGTTTGACAAATTACTTACTTAAACTCTTCTACTATTGAAATAACTATTTTGTTCCTAACTGAATATATTTTTTTTTCTTGTGTTTCGCAACATAATTATTTTTATACAACTATAATCCATTCAATATAATCAAATTTAATCTACCATGTTATATATAAAAATAGTACATGATTTAAAATGTCTCATTTTTTATAAGAAAATAAAGAAGAATGATCATAAAATCATTGCATGGCAACTCAGCAAAACATATTCAATTGCAACCTGTACATGGACATAATTTTTTTTTTGTTAGTCATACTATAGGCTACAATTGCAATAAAAATAAAAATAAAAAAAATAATAATAATACTATTTACCACAACATAATATAACAATTGGGAGATAAATGGGTATTAGCCCAGACCATATATACTGTCCTCTCCAAATGGAGAGGTTGAGTGATGGAGCTCTATTGGGGCATAATGTATAATGGATGTTTTGTGTATCCAGTACGGTTTGGGTGACAACTGACAAGTGTCCAACTCTATAATAAAATTTTAAAGGAATATACAATTAATGTATGAGTTTTTTTTTTTTTTCTTTTTGAAAATTATTAAATTATTCTTTAAATTTGAATATGAAGAAATATTATTTCTTTGAGACATTTCTGTAATGAAAGAGGTATAGTATATAAATTCCAGATGCTCCATGGTTTTTTTGGGAAGTTATATTGTTTCAAATTGTGATGATTTGACCGTAATATCCTCTTAATATATTTTTTAAAATTAATAGTAACAGGACAAGTTTAGTTTACAATAACTTAAATGTAGTTAAACCGTTTAAGATATTTAACATTAATTATCTTAAATATCTCTTTTTAAGATAAATAATTTTATTTATTTATTTTTTTGTAATTAAGTGAGAATGCAATAAAAGAACTACATACATATTTACAAGGAGCATACTCAGGGAGTGTTATGGGCCAGGTGCCCATATACCAAACCAACAAAAACAACAAGAAAGAAAAACCCCAAGAGTGGCCCAAAATCCAAATTGTCCACAATGATTGGCCCAATGTGGATACCAGCAAAAAACAAACCTTAAACAGAATCCAAGGGCATGGGCGGGATTCCATCAACTAGCTCATACAATCTGTGATGAAAAGGTAAATATGGGAATGTGGAGAACGGATTTGTGTGGGAGGGTTCATGGAAGGAGCTAGGCAAGTTTCATTCCATTGCAATCTCCTCTGCAGAAGGATATGAGCATTTCTTCATGGAGAACAATTTAAACCTCGCCGAATTGATGATCACATTGAAGAACTGAGATGGAGGCAAACTTTTGTTGCGGAAAATTACGTTATTTGTTTCACTCCTTATGTGGTATACAAAACTTGCTAGCGTGAGCTTCCAAGTAAGAATTTTGCTAGACTTTGCTTTCTGTTTCCAATTTGAAGAAGCCCAAATTAGAAATTCATGCCATGTATTAGGGTTTGTATAGAACCCACATTTGTGCTGGCTCTTCACTGGATCACCTCTAGATGGTTGGGATACCTGATAACTGAAGATGACGAAGATTTTTCTGGGTAAGATCGAAACACATCTAGCTCCATTTTTCCACTCAGGTTACTAAAACTAAGGTCAAGAACTTCCAGATTCACAAGTTCAGTGTTGGGCTGGCCACAAAGTTATCCCTTAGAGTAGACTGGCTTCTTAAAGCTAAGTGAAGTCATTTGCGTAAATTAATGGTTGATTGAAGATGTGAAATATTTGGCGGTTTCACCATACAACATTGTGATCCCTAGACCTTTACCATCGGATACATGTGACATAAGTACCTATGATACTGAAAATTGTTTTCAGATTTATTATGCATTTGTCCTTCTTTACTGGCAAATTGGAAGGCAAAGATATATGAAATAGCAACACAAACATCACTTTGGGTGGTATTAGACACTAATGGAATTGAAAATGTGTGTTCATTAGTCTTTTTGTGGACATTGATTTTTGTCAATACTATGATACTCCAATCCCATAATTGTCTTGATAAGGTCTACAATGTTTTGGAAAGTAGTACCATAAGTGAGGATGGTATCTGATATTGTCTAAATCAATGGTCCATTGCATGATATTCACAAGATTAGGAAGAGCATAATGGGTTAACTTAGAAATCAGTTCATGATGCTTAAGCTTCGTCTTAAAAGCCTTTGCCATTGCAACCAAAAATTTTGTTGAGCAAACTTGTAGCGTGATGGCACCAGCAGAGACTAGGCAAAAGCAGCAAAGAAATTAGGTCCCGCGAGTGAAGTGGTCCAAAACATTGGTTGTGCTATGTAAGGAAAAGTTCTGTTTGTTAAGATGACTATGAGTGGTCTTACAAAGCTGATGAACAATATTGAGAGAATGTTCTGTCAGCAAGACTTTTCAATAAATCTTCTATTTTTAGGATCCAATACAAGTATTATATGTATGTGTGTCTGCACGCTTGTGTATAAAGGGAATCTAAATACTAAATAATCAAGATATTTGGCCTTCTTAATGTTGTGTTTGTATGCCATCTACAGTTTCTGATTTCTGCCAGTGTGGTCACACCCATATATCAAGAGATACCTAGATAATCTACCCTGTAATAATCAATATAATCACAATAATATCACTTGTCTTCTTTGGGATGCCTGTAAGCCTTGTTTAGTACGTTCTAGTTTTAATGAACTCTAAAAGAAGAAAATAGTTCTAAGAGACCTAAGTTTACATTGGCATAGGTGTTTTTTTTCTAAACAAATAATTATACACGCATAGCAATGTTCTTATGAAAACTTAAATCCTTAATTTTACATTTTAAAAATTAAAAAAAATAGCGGTAACTACAACCATTGATTGAGTGACATGTTATTTCCTCAAAAAAGTTATTTCCTTTTGAGTTTGAATTGTATGTACTTTGTTTTTAGTCTGGGATTTTAATACATCCGCTCTTTATAGCACACAAAAAAACAAAAAACAAAATAAAATAACTTCTAATAACAATTACAGGCCAAGCATATATTTGAGAATTTATGCCAAAATGTCATACATGCATTACCGATGGCTGCGATGCATCTTTTGAACAATTATCTAAAATACTACCTTTATGCAACAAGTATTCTGTAACAGCGGTCCAAAACCACACAATAGATAACATTTAGACATAATTAACATTTTTTTTTTTTTTTTTTTTCAGCTGCAAATTTTAATTATACTATAGTATTACTACCAAGAGTTTTTCTTTAATGACATGTATCTTATTAAGAGAAGCCACTCTAGAGGATCAGAGTTTGGCATAGACTACAAATGCAAACTAGTAAAAAGAAACACAATGCAACACACATACCTGATAGCTGGTGGAAACTCCATGCTGGAGCTGAAATTCTTCATTTCCTTGATGTACCTCCTCCAGTGGAAAAGTCTACAAAACCATGAACGAATATGGGCTCATCAAATTTAGCTTCTTCGCCTGCTCCTTTTCGTCCTCTGTTTCTTTTGGTTCCTTCCAAATGTGCTGATAAACCATTCATGATACCTTGCGACAAGAGAGTGCCCAATGATCAACCCAACTACTAACCCACCACCATAACCCATGCATATCACAATCCAATCACTTTTATCAATTGTAAGCCATGAATGATCACCATCTTGTTTGAAGTTCGAAAGTAGTGGTGGTGGCAGCAACGCGTATGAGTTGTCACATTTGTTCGGCAAAGGGTCTCCACACAATCCCAAATTCCCCTCATAGGAATTGTTTGGAAATGTATTGAATTGCCTCTCTCGTGGAATCGGCCCTCTGAGATGATTAAAAGAGACATTGAAGAATTCAAGGAACGTGAGATGGGTTAATTGCTCAGGTATCTCTCCTGAGAGCTTGTTTTTAGAAATGTCAAAGGATTCAATCTCTGTTAGATTCCCCAACGAAGATGGAATCTGACCAATGAGATTGTTGTTAGAAAGATTTAGCATGTGAAGACACTTGAGAATCCCAATAGATTCTGGAATCTCTCCTTCAAATCGGTTGCTTGACAAATCAATGGCAGTGAAAATATTTAGGATATACAAATACACAATTTGTACACCTTTGTTTGTCAGTGTCAATGTGTAAGTCTGCCATTGTTAACAACATTGGTTGCTCTCCCAATATATGTTGATTTATTAACATCAATAGTTTTCATGGCTGTCAAGGTATGGAAGTAATCGGAAGGTAACTTACCAGCGAAACCATTGTGAGAGATGTCAAGAATGTGCAATTTCGAGAAAGCAAAACTGGAGTTAAGGTTTAATATTGCACCATGGAATCTATTGAATCGCAAAATGAGAACCTTCTATTCAGGAAGTGTTCCTAGCCAAAAGGGGAAAATATCATTGATCTGATTGTTCCCAAGATCAAGACTCTCAGGAGTTGAACAATTGACCAATGATTTTAGCACTGGCCCTTCCAATTAGTTTTGACTGAAGTTGATCATTCTTAGTCTGGTTCCATTCTTGTATGTTTGAGGAATGGGGCCATCTAATTTATTGTTTCGAAGATACAATAACTCCAGGGAATCAGCAAAACTTCCCAAACATTGGGCAATGGTGCCACTCAGATTGTTATAAGATAAATCCAAGACACGAAGAGAACTCACATTGCAAATCAGTAGTGGAATCTCCATGTTAGAACTAAGGTCTAAAAAGTATAGTGCATTCCAAGGAAGGACTAGTGGATGATGTTGGTGAAAGGCGCCAGTTATAAAGTTTTGAGAAAGGTCAAGGGTATTCAGAGTTTGTGTACCAATGTTCCATATCCATGTAGGCAGGGGGCCTTTGTAACGACCCAAAAGACACCAAAATAATAATAATAAAATAAAATAAAATAAAAATTTCGGTATGACCTTAGCAGAAAATGTTCCTCTACAATATGTTGAAATACATAAAAAGATGCAATAGCCTCACTAGGCCTTAAAAATAACCTATCATGTCCTAACGCACAATACAAATATTATATCACATTCCTAAGATGGTCACATACATATGAAATGTCCACTTCCTCCATCTCATCCAAACAAAGAGTTCACTTTAGTTACATCAAGTTACAGTCCATAAAATGCAGCTAAAATTTAATAGTCCATTCCTTACAACATTATACTAATTAAACTAAAGTTTCACAAGATAGTTAATATTATATTTACAAAATATTAGAGTTCTAATACAAAAGATAGTAAAAATAAAATAGATCCCCAAGCTTATCTAAACTTGTAGTGGATCGTCGTCCGCCACCTCTTTTCCATGTCCTGAAAAATGTTAAAAATAATGGGGTGAGCATAAACTCAGTAGAAAATGTCTAAGACACACTTCTTATGTCCCCGTGAATCCATAAAATGAATAGATGAAAGGTGAACGAGATCATGCCATAGGGAAGTGCATAATATCAACCACAATAACTAAGTATGTAACAAATATCAACCAATCACAAGTTTACCACAATGTCATGAAGTGCAATGTTATACAAATGTCACTCCCCATTTCCGAAACAATTTCGTTTCAACAACCAAACCGTTAGTGTAATCCGACCCAAGGCACCTCTATGGCATCACGAAAGGAAGGTTGGTTAACTATCTACGACCACAAGGTACCTCCAAGGCGTCACATTCGGCCTAGTTAACTCAACTACATTCCCTTCTAGATTACACCAACATCACGGACCACTAGACGCCTCCTAGGCGTCCGGTTTTCGCAAACACTTTTAAAAATATTTTCCCAAAAATTTATTTCCTTTGTTTTAAAAACATTTTTCCCTTTTCTCTTCCTGATGGATGCATGAATACTTCGTGCTTCTAATCATCAATTCAACTATAAACTTTCACACATTCCATTTACATCATCATCACAATTTAATAAAAATTTCTAAACATTCATTTATTTATAACCATAGCATCAATTTTTTTTTTTCAAAGCAATAAATAAATAAATAAATAATCATAGGGCATATAATATGTCAACACTAGGCATACTCATCCACCGTAATGAATCTAGTCATATATATGAATTCAAATAATACATGAAACACACTTATCATTTTGATTAATCATACTTACAACAACCACACACTAAGTAATCAAAATTAGCATGCTTATGATCAAATTTAAGGGGAAAATTCACATAAAAACCAAGAAGTTGTATATTAGAACACCCATACCTCAATCGAAGTGAAAACCCCCAAAATCCCCAAATCCAAGCCCTAATTTCGGAATCTCTAGGCTTGGCCAAATGATGTTTGGCTCCTATCAAATTGAAGGCCTCGACAAGCTCTCCAACTTTGCTTCACAAGGTTCTACAAAAATCCAAAGGAGTAAAGTTAGATTAAGCTTTGAGATTGCAAAAAGAAAAAAAGAAAAGAAAAGTGAGATGTCGAGAGGAGAAGGGACGTAGTGTAACGACCTTAAACCGATACCATAAAAAAAAAAAAAAAAAAAAAAAAAAAAAAAAAAAAAAAAAATCGACATGACCTCTGCTAAAAGGGATCCTACAACGACCTACTTAAACGCAAAAAAATGCAATAGCCTCTCATAGGCCTTTAAAATTTATCTAACATGTCCCAACACCATGCAAATAATACCTTCCAGCATTCCTTTCATCCATTCATCATGCCTCAACATAGTTCATCACATGGTGGAACATCTATATACCATATCATCCAAAAATCAAAATTACAGTCCCAAAATACAAGAGTAAGATCAAATATCCATGTTTTACAACATTTAGACAGCTTATATAAAAGTTACAGCCCATAGGTATAATTATAATATTAAAAGTCCATAAGTCGTTGTGTTTATACATTATGCTTAGTCTTACAAAAATAGTGAGACCCCAGTACAAAAACAATAAAATAAGCTCCTAATCCATACTAAGTCTGTGATAAAATGTCATCCGCCACTTCTTTCCCATTTCCTGAAAAAAAAATGTTAAATAAAAGGGGTGAGCAAAATTGATCATTAGGTGGTGCCTAAGACACACCTATTGTGTCCCCGTGAATCCAAACAAAGAATAGAACAATAGAGGGCAGGGTCATGCCATGTCGGGAAAGAACTACATAATAACCAATCTCAACATAAACAATATGACGTTATGAAATGCAATGCATGCCGATGTCACTCCCTATTTTCAACATTCAAAACCATTACTTTCAAACTGTTAATATAACCCGCCCTTTGGTGACCCTGCAGCAACACGAGAGAAGGATTGGCTAGTGTCCTTGACCCTTGGTAACCCCGCGGCGTCATTTTGGGCCCAGCTAGCTCAACCACGCTAGGGCAATTCCCTAGTTTCTTCTAGGCTATATTAACACTCCGGCCCTTTGGTACCCCCGCGGCGACCGGGTTTTCATAAAACACTTTAATCAAAACTTCCTTCCCAAAATTTCCCTTTTTCATTTCAAAGTAATTTGTTCCCTTTTCTTCCTAATGCTATGCATGAATGCTTCATGCCATGTAATTCATCATTCTACAGCAAATTAAAATTTTAACCTCACATTACACCTTCCAAGAATTTCTAAGAATACATAACATGCTTTCATACAACAATTTTAGCAAGTTAACAACATTATCAGCTAGGGAAAATAACACATAAAACATGTTTTTCACATATAACATAAATTTAACACATATTCACATACTCAAATTTCAAGGTTTAGTCACCTTAAAACAAAATCAACTCAATCTAGCATAATAAGCAACAAATAACAATAATTATACTCACTAAGGCACAAGAATATATGGATTAGAGACCCCTACCTCACTTTTAAACAAAACCCCCAATTTTCAACTCAAACCCTCAAAATGGGTCTCAATTTTCGGACTCCCTACATTGCTCAAAACTCAAATTGCTGGTACACACGTGTAGAGCTCGTCATGCTCTCCGTTTTGCCGCAAACGGCACTTAAAAACACTAAGAAATGAGGGACAAATCAAGCCTTGAATTTGATGTGGAAAAGAAAAAGAAAAAAAAAATAGTGAGCGAGAGAGAGAGAACTGAATGTGAGAGAATGCAGAGAGAAATGAAATCAGCCTAATGCCACTAATCTAAATAGCTTGTGGGTCCCACCCATTTTCCTTTTTATTTTCCTTTTTCTTTTTGTTTTTAATTGTACACCACACACACAAATATATATATATACACACCATAATTACATATGTATATATATATATAACACAGACATTACATTTTCCCCAACTTTAAAAGATTTCATTCCCGAAATCAAGACATACATGAGGAAGAAAACAATGCTGGGTACTTGGAGCGAACCTCAGGTTCAAGATCCCAAGTAGCTTCCTCGACTCCGTGGTGTTTCCAAAGAACTTTCACTATTGGTATCGTGTTGTTCCTCAACACCTTCTGCTGTGTGTCAAGGATCTAAACTGGTCCCTCTTCATAGGAAACATCCTCATTAATGTCCACATCAATCCAACTCAAAATGTGAAATAGATCCAGCTCATACTTCTGTAGCATCGATACATAGAAAACATTGTGGACCCTGTCTAACTGTGGTGGCAAAGCAAGTCTGTAGGCAACCTCTCCTACTCGGTCCAAAATCTCAGACGGTCCAATGAATCGTGGCGACAACTTGCCACTTTTCCCAAATCTCATCAATCCTTTCCGTGGAGAAACCCGTAGAAAAAACGTGGTCTCCCACCTCAAATGATAATGGCCGTCTCCGCTTATCCGCATAACTCTTCTGTCAGCTCTGAGTTGTAAGTAACCTCTGTCTGATTAGCTTAATCTTCTCAGTAGTCTCGAGTACTATGTCGGGTCCTAAGACGGCGGTCTCACCCACCTCAGTCCAACAAACAGGAGACCTACAAGGTCTACCATACAACGCCTCAAATGGAGCCATTTGGATACTCGTTTGATAACTGTTGTTGTAGGCAAACTTAGTAAGCAGTAGATGATCTTCCCAACCACCACCCAAGTCAAGCACACATGCCCGAAGCATATCCTCCAAGATCTGGATAGTACGCTCCAACTGGCCGTCTGTCTGTGGATGGAATGTCGTCCTAAGATGCAAAGTTGAACTAAACGCTGTTTAAAGTCCTTCCCAGAATTTCGAAGTGAACTTGGCATCCCTATCTGAGACAATAGTTACTGAAATTCCATGCAACCTTACAATTTTCTTCACATAAAGTACACCAAGCTTCTCTGCATCGTCTGTTGCCTTAGTAGGCAAAAAGTGAGCCGTCTTGGTCAATCTATCAACGATGACCCATACGGCTTCATTACCCCTCCGTGACCTTGGAAGACCTGTCACAAAATCCATAACAATATGTTCCCATTTCCACTGTGCTACAGGTAATGGTTGTAACAAACCAGCTGGTCTCTGATGCTCGGCCTTCACCTGCTGACAAGTAAAGCACTTAGCCACAAACTGTGTAACATCTTTCTTCATCCCATTCCACCAATATTGACGTCTCAAATTATGATACATTTTGGTACCACCTGGATGAACTGCAAAGCGGGAAGTGTGAAACTCCCGTAAGACGTCCTCACGACAAACCGTGGGAACCACCAACAAACCCCTAAACCGTAGACCCCTCCATCTACATGCAAGGTCCAATATTTTACTATCTTACCAATGGAGATCAAGGCATGAATGTCATCTAAATCCGGGTCATGTCTCTGTGACTCAATCACTCGTACAATAAGAATAGGCTAAGTCACAAGACTAAACAAAAATGCTGGCTCACTGTCAACATCGTCATCAAAATAATACAATCCCATCTCTGCCAAATCCTTAAGCATCTTCCATTTCTGAATAGCTAAACAGGCCAGAGTTCCACGAGATTTCTGGCTTAAGGCATCTGTTACTACATTTGATTTGCCCAGATGATACTACAAGTTAAAATTGTAGTCTTCCAAGAACTCAACCCATCTTCTCTGTCTGTGTTCAAGTCCTTTTGGGATAAAAGGTACTTGAGACTTTTATGGTCTGAAAACACTTCAAACCTTTCACCATACAAGTAGTGTCTCCAACACTTCGAGGCAAATACGACTGCTGCTAACTCTAAATCATGAGTAGGGTAGTTAAGCTCGTGAGTCTTCAACTGTCGAGACCCATAAGCCACTACTCTACCATCCTGCATCAACACACATCCCAAACCATCACGTGAAGCGTCACAATAGATCACATAACCTAAGCCATACTCAGGTATCACCAACACTGGAGCTGTAGTCAATCTTGTCTTCAACTCCTGAAAAGATGTCTCACAGGCTTCATTCCACACACACTGAATCCCTTTTCGGGTCAAACAGGTCATAGGTGCTGCCAAACGGGAGAAATCCTTCACAAATCTCCGATAGTAACCCGCTAGGCCAAGGAAACTCCGAATCTCAAAAACATTCTTGGGTTGCTCCCAATTCAAAACTGCTTCAACCTTTGATGGATCTACTGACACTCCACTTTCTGAAACAACATGCCCCAAAAATTTCACCTCTTATAGCCAAAACTCACATTTCTCATATTTGGCATACAATCGATGCTCCCGCAAAATCTGTAAAACAATACTTAAATGGATCTCGTGTTCCTCCCGAGATCGTGAATACACGAGAATGTCATCCACGAAAATTACCACAAACTGGTCCAAGTAATCATAAAAGACACGGGTCATCAAGTCCATGAATGCCGCTGGCGTATTAGTCAAGCCAAAAGGCATAACAAGGAACTCATATTGTCCATACCATGTATAAAACGCTGTCTTTAGAATATCCTCATCCCTAACCTGTAACTGATAGTAACCTGACCTCAAGTCAATCTTCGAAAAACAACTGGCTCCTCCCAACTGATCAAACAAATCATCTATCATTGGCAAATGATACTTATTCTTGATGGTGGCACAATTTAACTTCCGGTAATCAATGCACAACCTCAAAAAACCATCTTTCTTCTTAGCAAACAAGACTGGTGCGCCCCACGGTGACACACTCGATCGGACGAAACCTTTCATTCTCAAATCATCAAACTGCCTCTTTAATTCTTCCAATTCAACTGGTGCCATACGATACGGTGCCATAGAAATCGGCGCGGTACTTGGTATTAACTCAACGGTGAATTCTACTTCTCGGTGTGGAGGCAACTCTGTCAAATCCTCCGGAAACATATCCAAGAAATCACGAACAACTGCAGGATAATCTTTTTCCACAAGATCACTTTTTTCGACTATAAGGCTAGCCAAGAAGTAATCACCACGATTCCGTCCACAAACTCCATAAAACGATGAAATGTGGGAATCATTCCGATCTCCCACGAAAAATAAACAATCTCACTCGGGAGTGCAAACTGTAACCCTTCCTCTGTAACAGTCGATCGTGGCATGAAAGGAAGCTAACCAATCCATCCCAAGAATGACATTAAAGCTAGTCATCTCCAGGAGGATAAGGTCAAACACAAAGGTCCGCCCGGCTATCACAATAGAACAATCCCGCACAACTCGGCTCAAAGACACTGAAACCCCAACTTGCGTATCAACACACAACGCCCGATCTATGAAACTGACCTCTAACCCCGATGCAAGTACAAGTGATAATGAAATGAAAGAGTGAGATGCACCAGAGTCAAACAAAACACGGGCCCAAGAACCAAACACTAGAAATATACCTCGGAGAACTGAAGATCTAGGAGATGCTTCAGTCGGTGCAAGTGCAAAGACACGTCCCTGCGGTGCCTGAGAACTACCAATATGAACACCAGATTGCTTTGCTGACACAGTAGAAATATCCCTCCTAACTGGTCGTGAACCCTGAGAAGATATGACAGGCTGTGGTGGTGGCGGTGGTCTAAAACCTGACTGAACCGTAGCTGACTGTGATGGCCTCTGCTGTGACCCTCTGCCATTACCGGTGCCTGCTCCCTGAGTAGGACAATCCTGAATCAAATGGCCCTGCTGGCCACACCCATAATA